CTAATCTACGACCACCACACTTGCACATGAAAAACTAATTTACAAAATCGATTCAAAGAAAAGTAAAAGTTAGATACCCTAATTAGGTACCTATTTTAAGGTTGAAAATCGTATCTGTAAAAAATCTTTATTAGATAAATAACATATATAGTAGGCAGCGCGATGCCGCCGCGACCGTGCACGCGTCAGGAAGAGTGGACTCTTGACAGAAGGATCTGTGACTCGAAATCAGTAGAGCTTTTGTCACTATAATTACGTTTTTTAGGTAATTTACAAAAATAGAGTTCAGAATATCTTGTTTCATTAAGTTTTCAACATGCCTTAATATTTATACCACTGTATTCCTGGTTTGTACCTGTACCGTGGCGAGTGGGTCAACTTAATCAACTCTATCAACTATTTTCATTGGAATTTGGGCTTTATATCCAAACACTATAAAGTTGAAACTGTAATAAATAAATAAACAGTTTAGGATAGCTAGTTTTATTGTAGGTACAATATATATGTATATTTAAAGCTATAAATATGTGAACCACGTACCTACCGAATGTTAGGCTATAGCTATCAACAGTTGGTTATTGATGAATCTTACATTCTTTAAGTGCCTCATACTCAAACCTTACTAGGAACACTTGTATATAAGTTTGTAATAGTAACTGTAATCAAATATCTTGATTTGGCTCACGAGGTTGTCGACATGTGGAATGTAGATTCGGCTATCATTGTGCCGATAGTCGTGTCGGCCAATGGGTTAATCCCTAATAGCCTCGACAACCACCTTAGGAGGCTAGCGTTAGGCAGTTGGGTCAAGGGCCTGATACAGAAGGCAGTTCTCCTTGAAACGGCGCGCATTGTGAGGAGGTTTCTGTCTCTGGAGCCCTAACCACCGGTAGCTTGGACCATGCTCCCGCTACTGGTCGGCTCCTCTTTTTTATATTTTTAAATATTATTTTTTATTTTTTTGTAAGTAGTATTTAAAAATGTAATTTATAGAGAATTTTAAATAAATATATGGAACTGTAATAGTGACTGCCTCTTTGGCCGAATGGCAAGTCCGACTGCCAGGCAAGGGCTCTCAGGTTCGATTGGGGCAAAATATTAAGGGGTTTAAAAAATCTCAGTAGGAACATAGAGTTTGGATATGTGCCCGGTATATGGCAATAGACTCACCCCCTATTACATGGGACTCATAACATAAATAGTGAAAAGTGGGTGTTAGATTGTACAGTGGCATTAAGTGCCGTAATGTGCGATTCTGCCTAACCCTTTGGGGATAAAAGGCGTGTTGGTATTTTATGTAATAGTGATTCAAGTAGGTGCAGTGGCCAGCAGTTGAACCGATCTGTCAAATTAATTCATTGGACTTTCGACTTTATGTCAATGCAATTAAGGTGAAGGTGTATTAACGAACATTTACAGATGAGGATAGGTTAATATGCTATTCACCGTGCCTATGAGGTTTGATTCAGTCAGACAAAGTTTCCTAAAGATAATATACTGACTTCTAATGATAATATGGTATGTCGTCATACAAATGAATAACAAAAATGCAAGAAATAATTGAGTTATTTGCGCTGAAATACTCAAACGCCACTCAACTTTAAGTCGCGCCTAAATATAGGTAGTTGAATCACTACGAATTCTATATAGAATGATATTTAAGTACACCTCAGTGAGTACCCCTTCAGTATTCGTGTGTGTTCGAAATCATAGAATGTAAGATAAATAAAATTGGATTGTCTGTTTTTAATATTAAAATAACCGCTTTTTTACTACATCTCCGTATGAATATACATACGATACACAGTTTTTGTCTGTCTGTTTGTATTGGCTAATCTCTGTAATGGCTGGACCGAATTTGTAAGATTTTTATTGGCAGGTAGCTGATGTACCTACTCAGGTAATCCTTAAAAGTAGCTTATGTTACTACATAGGCTACTCTTATTTTGGAAAAATAAATCAAAAAAAGTTAAATTCTAAAATTCATATTATACGCGGACGAAGTCGCAGGTAACAGCTAGTTTTAAATATGGGTTGTAAAACATTATCAGCTTGCATTTAAAAATAAATACTTCTACCATCAGGGAAATATAATGTTTAATATATCTTAGTCACAAGGTTTACCTCAACTGGAAATAAAATCTAGATCTTTTCGCATTAATATTTCTCAAGGCGTTCCTCAAGAACACAAATACATCACAATAGAGATAAATAAGTCACTGATGTTAGTACATTTACAAATCGCTTTACATATAACCATTTCCTTTTCAACTCTATTTCATAGTTATTAGAATTCACATTTGTTTACAATCAATATTGAACTTATTTACGATGCTTTGAACTTGTTAAATAACGAATATTTTTTATCTGTTACTACACGATTAAGGAGATATATGTAAGTCATACTTTTTTATACTTCAATTTTTAGATTAGAGTATATCAATAGTATGAAAAGTCAGTGAGTCATACTTACATCCTACAAAAAGAAATAGGTTCTTTGTTATACTCCAATTAGTAGGTTATTTTTTTGAGGGGGGAAAATCATCCAATGAATTCTCTCGTACGTGTGAGGCGAGCGAGAACCTCTTGTATTTTTATGTATGTATAATTATAATTATGTAGCTATTTTATTCCTTAGATCCTTGTAATCTCGTATTAATAACGTTTCTATAGGTGTATAAATCTATGTTTAAAATGTTTTAATGCAATAAATTGTTATAAGTAATTATGAACGTGTTTTTTTAATAGGAAATATGTCTTTTTTTGTTTTTTAAGGGGGGAAAATCATCTATTGACTCTCAGATGGGAGTATCAGACTCTTACTGACTAAAAACCACCCCGTTCCTGCGCTTTAAGCTGGAGCCCCGGTAACCCGTTAAGTTCTCCGCGGTTCCGTATCGCCATCAGCCCTATTAGGCTCCATCTGTGGTAGGTAGTCTGATGGCACTTCGAGCTAATTTGTAGATTGGAGTATAAAAAGTATGGCTTGTCGGTGCATGCTATCAGTAGATAGCAACCGAAACTTGCGAACCTTCAGATGATAAACGGTCACCGTAGCCTAAGTACCTACATCTATTCCAGAGGCATCATGACTTCCCAAAAATGGTGGCCGACCATATAGAAGTTTGTCTAATTGAGTCATTATTTTCGCTATAGTAAGAGTAATAATTATAATCAATAAGTGATAGTGATGGGACTGGCTCGGTAGCAAACCTGCATTTTAAGTAACTTTTGCAAACTAATTCATTTTATATCAACCACGTTCTAAGTGGGACGTATTTTATAAAATCACACAGCTAATATAAGCATATAAGACTGCACGTTTGGTGCGGTGGCTGGGCAAACGGCTGCCGTGCAACATGTCGCGGGTTCGATTCCCGCACGGAACAACACTTTGTGTGATCCACAAATTCTTGTTCCGGGTCTGGGTGTCATATGTATGTGAACTTGCATGTTTGTAAACGCACCTACGACACAGGAGATAATGCTAGTGTGGGGTAATGTTTTTTTTATTTTAATTGTTCAATCAAAAGTTGAAAAAACAAAAAATGACGAGAGTCTCACGTAAATATACTGAGAGGAGCTCTACTAGTTTCGAGTCACAAAGGAACTCTTCCTTATAAACAGCAGTAGGCTGCGCGACATCGCCGCGACCGCGCACTCTGCTCGTGAGGAAGAGTTCGTACATTACGTCTATAACTCGTAATTTTTTGTTAATTCAGAATGTCCCACGATAGTTATGATAAAAACAAAAGTTGAAAACCAAAATAACTTATAACTACACAACACACAGCCAATGAGGTAACAAGAGCAGTTAGGTGTCAAACTAAAAAAAAATACTATTTTCAAATCTGAGTAGCAATGTATGCACCATATACCTACGTAACACTATCTATATTCAAACAATAATTAATCCAGCCAATAAATGTAAAGCACGTTCAGTATCAGCATCCACGTTCTTAAAAAAAATATCAGCTTAGTTTAAAACGTTCGATGACATCATGTTTAAAATAGTAACGGCCAATGTGTTCTAAATGACAACTTTCAAATGTTATAAAAACATACATTGTTCTTGACATGTTTAAATTCCAATTATTATGACTGGTGTATATTATAATAAAAAATAAAAAATTGCAAACCTATACAAACGGGCGTTGTGTAATTAAAAATTGTAAATTAATAACAACGTAATTTAAAAAAAAATCGTAATGTCTGTGAGTAATATTAACAATAAACTTATTTCTTTTTGTTTTCCGTCTGCAGAAGTTAAGATAAAGGTGATGTTTCCACCAATCAAATCATGCCGCTTATTACTTATTACAGTAGGCAATAAAACTAATTTCAAATTAAAAAAAATGTCGCCATTGTACCTACGTTTTAAAACGATTTTTTTAAATACAGCCTGTAATATATGCAATGTAATTTACTCAGATAACTACAGTATCATTATTAAACAAATTTAGTTTAAAATATATCATTTAAAACAAACCTTGACTTAAATCAAGTAGTGGCGAGCTACCGCTCCACGTTTTATAGGTATTATCGTTTACAAAAGCTGACCCAATTTCTTGGCACTCTGAGTATAAATACATACATTTCATTTATTACAGTCTAGCATGGCAGCGATAAGAAGTTCTCCAGTCGAAGAAAACGTTTCAACTTCAAATGAATGCTTTTCTTTCAAAATGAGTTCGAATAAAAGTTTTTATTTCTACAGACGTGAGATATTCATTCTATTTTTCAAACGGTATTTTTATATATTAGTTGCGACAAAATAACACGCTGTAGAACAACATGCTTTATCAATGTACAACTTGAAAAAGTAAACTAAATAAAGCCATGATAACCGGTAAAGTTAATTACTAACTAACTATGTTGATAACAATCTCAATTGTTTTCAAGTGCATATCAAAACCTACACTCATAACAAGGAAGTACAATGACACGCAAAAGTGTTTAAAATTTTAAATAATTTCTTTTACAGATAAAAAAAAACTTACCGATTTCGAATAAAGCCAGCAAAACTGCTAGGGATAATGCGGTGAATCCGTACCGGGCCATTTTCTTCTTGTGTTTTTTTTAAATCACAGCAAACGACTGATCTCGAGCTATGGATGAACTACACTGAGAACGAGGACCGCCGCGCCCGCCCGCCAGCACGACGCCGACCAACGCATTTACACGTCACGTAGGGTAAACCCATCTCCCACTTTATTGAGGACAGTCTATGTTTTTATTTTGTTTCCTTGCGATACTGCTAGTAAATATCCTTAGTAATGAAATAGAATTATGGGTGTTTGTTATTAATTCTTTAACACAGCGTCTAACTTTTGTTGTAATAACAAAAAAGTGGAAACACTATATAGAAAAACATGGAATTTTAAGGTGTTTCGTACTTTTTTTTATTAAATTTGATGGTGGTTTACAAGATTGTCAAAAAAGAAATGAAACCATAATTCACACGACGAAACACAACGCAAGCGTTGCTTCACGTCGGTTTTCTGTGAGGCCGTGGTATCACTCCGGTCGAGCTGGCCCATTCGTGCCGAAGCATGGCTCTCCCACACTTAAAATCTCTTTTTTCTACACGTGCAGTCTTGCTTAGCATCGAGATTTCTTTATTCCAATCTGGAATTAAGTTGTTTAGACATCGGCACCCACATTGCGAGACGTGTATAACTTAGTTAATGAAAAGATAATACCTAAACAATATACTTTGTTTATTTAATTTTACGACGTGGTATTGCTGTCAGCCTTCTGGGTACTTTCCCTATTGACGTCGATGCGGACGAATTTTTGAGGATCTCTGTAAATAGTTATTTTTAGTTTTCTTTTATTTAATTTTATAATAATATTGTAGTACCTAAACATCGCGATAATCGGCATTGACGTTGACGTAAGTGTGGCAACGGCATTATAGTGTATCTTAAATAGTACATTTTTTGTCTTTCCTTATGTTGTAAACATCTCAGTTTCAATAAAAGTATCAATAGTTTATTTTTAATTTTCTTTCTAAGGTCAGACAAATAAAGCTCCATTTTTTCTGTAAGTTATTATATTTCAAATTATTCCACCACAAAGTTTCGTGGTCACAAAAACAATTTGCTGACAAATGTTTTTCGTAGACGAGAAATAGATAAAACACAGTATATTTCCCAAACGTTTGGTCACCTTACTGTCCGACCAAAAAGATACTTGTGCTAAATCTTTGGCCAGGATATCAACCGAAAATACAAGGTTATTCGTATGGTTTTGTTTTTTATTAGACTAATTCGTCCGGGCCCATATTTATTCCTATTTTCCTATATTGAGCAGACAATTAGGTACCATTCCATAAAGGAAAAACAAGTCAGATTATTTGCATTTTTATGGATTGCCTTGTCGATTCATTCATTGCAAAAGCTACTCACAAGTCAAACTAAAGGGTCTTAGAATTGTTGGAAAGAAAGAAATAAATAAAAAAAGAAGAAATAAAGGAAGAAAGAAATATATTTTATTCGGCATCGGGCACCATGTACTAAAGATAAAACAATAACTAACTATCAAAAAATACACAACCAATAATACTTATTGCCTTATAATTTTCACACATTTCCAGACTATAGGCTACCCACCAGTATCCTCTTAATTTTCGGTAACCTAACTTTACTGCCATCACCTAGTTGCTGGCGATATATGGGGATTATTTATTTATTTATTTATATAATTATGTTTTTTTAACGTTGCCCCACACTAGGATTTTCTCCTGTGTCGTGGGTGGTCATCAGCCCTATTGGGCCCCATCCGTGGTGATCTGATGGCTCTTGGAAGCGCGCGCGGAACACGACGCGCCGTACCCTCGGGTCTGGTTCTAGTCGGGCGGCGAGCCATGCTCGCCGTCCGCTGGCCCGCGGTGTGTGTGTGTGTGTGTGTGTGTCTGTGTGTGTTTGTTTATTACAATCTGTCTGAACTTACACTAGTGAATTTCCTTATTATTTCCCATATGGAATATTTTTGGTAAATAAAGTAATGATACGGAAGTCCATACCTATACACAATAGGAAAATCAACAGCAATTTAGGTACTCATAACTGTATTGTTAACCATATTTATCTTCCAATTTAATAATAATTGATGCCAGGTTCAGGAAAACTTCGTATATTTGAATTTATTTGAAAATAGTTATGTAGATATCATGTGCCAATAATAATTACCCATACATACTTATGTATGCACCTCACGCCTGTCTCCCACTCCTATAGGGCTAGGCAGAAATAGTCGAAACGTAGGAATTGTATAAAAAAGAAGCGTAGCAATTGTGCTACGATTTAGAATAATAAAACTGATCCACGTCAGGATTTTCTCCTGTGTCGTTGGTGCGTTTACAAACATACAAGTTCACATACACATGACACCCAGACCCGGAACGACAATTTGTGGATCACACAAAGTGTGGTTCCGTGCGGGAACTGAACCGAACCGCGACACATTGCACGGCAGCCGGTTGCCCAGCCACCACGCCAACCGTGGAGTCAAATTCTTACATCCCTCTTTCGCTTCAACAACAGTCATCAGTCTTTTCATGCATGCTGTTAATTTAATGGTATAGGTACATTTTAATTTCTGCTTCAGATTATTTCAAAAATTAACTATAAGCTGACTGCCTCATTGTCCGAGTGGTTGCAAGTGCGACTGCCGGGCAAGGGGTCTCGGGTTCGATTCCCGGGTCGGGCAAAGTATTGCTGGGTTTTTCAAAAATTCCCAGTAGTAGCACGGAGTCTGGAATTGTGTCCGATATATAGCAATAGGCTCACCCCCTATTACATGGGACTCATAACATAAATAGTGAAAAGTGGGTGTTGCATTGTACAGTGGCATAATGTACACCTCTGCCTACCCCTTCAGGGATAAAAGGCGTGATGTTATGTTATGTTAACTATAAGCAAGTTGCGGTGGAAACCAAAGGTCGAATTCATCATCTTCATCATCGACAGCCGAAAGACTTCCACTGCTGGACAAAGCCCTTCCCCTTGGTCCACCACGTCGAGTTGGTTTAAGTATTATTTAGGTTCATCAAAATAATCACATGAGCCACAATACAACCAGTTATGTAAGCGAACTACAAGTCTTATGGCCGTTTTTACCGACCATCCCCAAACCATCTCCTAACTAAATGTTACTTAGCGAAAAAGGTAAGAGGTAGAGGTAGCTTAGGTATGAAGTGATATTTACATAAATAAATTATTTTCAAATTAAAATTTGTGTGCACCTACATATGTCTGAAGCAGAAAAACAGTACCAATTTTCTTAAAATTCGAAGGCCAACACAGCAAAGAAACACAACAATACAAGCAAAATAATTAATAACATATTAAGTAGTTCTTGTCTGTGTATAAAATGCGAGATAAGCCAAAAAGTGCATTAATTTATTAAAACTGATTCTAGACGCATTATCTCTTGGCACTGTTTTAAAATGTTTAAGAAACACTTTATATGGACTACTTTCTCAATTTCATAGTGTTTTAGTGCAATGTTGTAAAATATGTATCCTATTATATACTTGCTATGCCATTTCCACGCGGTTTCATTCGCTGCTTGGTTTCTATTGATCAAAGCTTAATGTTTTATAGCCGATTTGCTCGATAAATGTACTATCCAACAAAAAAAGAATTATTCAAATCGCTTCAGCAGTTCCGGAGATAGCACGTTAGCACCAATAAACTCTTCAGCTTTATAATAAAAAAAAAACAAATATATGAATATTTTGCTTTTTTATAGAAATAGATTATATAGGAGTAACATACACACACAAACATTAGTAGGATGAATGCAACAAATCAGTCAATATTAACAAAACATCTACATCTAGTGAGCCATGCTTCGGCACGAATAGGTCGGCTCGACCGGAGCGATACCACGGCCTCACAGAAAAATCGACGTAAAACAACGCTTGCGTTGTGTTTCGTCGTGTGAGTGAGATTACTGGAGGGCCAATTATCCCCCCTCCCCAGTCTCCCCAAACCCCGAATCCCTCACAATCCTCAAATTCCCAATTCCCAAAAGGCCGGTAACGCATTTATAACGCCTCTGGTGTATCAGGTGTCCATGGGCGACGCCGATTGCTTAATTTTATTTATTTATTTAATATGCTTCATGCACAAAATGTACAAAAAAAGGTGGAGTTAATGCCGCAGGCATTTTCTACCAGTCTGCTCTTTGTTTGGGTGATGCAGAGAAGAGTAAATGGTAGGTGCAAGAGGCAAGCAGTGATTTTATTTAACAATGAAAGATAAACTAATATGTTTCGGAGTACAATATGCCTACATACATATATACATACATACCAAATATATAAATATATACTTGCTTACAAGTACACGGTGGATAGTTAGCGCGATGATTCAGCCAACCTCTTTAAGAAAAGCTCACGTACTTTGTGCTTAAAAGTTAGTCGAGTTGAGACCATCCTGACATCCAGGGGGAGCGCATTCCACAGCAAAATTGCCTGTACGAAAAAAGATGAATGTAAGAAGTCAGTTCGATGAGTGGGACATTGGAGAAGACGGTTGTGAGAAGAAGTGCTTACCATCAGGTGTTCCGTCTGCTGGTTTACCGGCTTATCCCCTGAAAAAAAAACATAATTTGTATGGAGTTTCGATCAAACCTACGTCAACCCATATACCTCTATTTTCACCTAACAATGCTATTAGTTTCGTCTTTGAGTATTCTAGAGTTTTTCTACAACATTCTTTTGCACAAACTAACAAACGAATTCTTTGAATTCTTAATGATTACACGGAATTCTTTACTTTCCCAGTGAATGGACAATTGAATAACTTAAAAAAATAACATTCGAAGATCACTGGTCGTACACATTGTTATGATTGAAGTGTTAAATATTTTATTCATTGTTTTTCAAACATAGCTCAGGTGAAGCAGGAAAAAGATCACATATACTGTTCAAGGCAAGATCACTTAGGGAAATTACTTGTTCACACGATTTGACCTGACTTGTTCTTCATATGTAGAAGCAGTTTGTTTGTGTACCTTACCTACTTGTAATAAGTCATCAGTCAAAACATTATTATACTTATGAACAACAACTTTGTAAATGATTTTAGGTTTGATTTTTTTTAATAATGTAGTTTGATTTTC